GGAACACAATTTTAGGGATTTTTCAGCTCAAGTTTTCATCCCAGCCCTTTGTTGTCAACTTGGCCTGTTCTCCACTTACTACATAGATTATAACTCTGAACAGTTGGAGAACAAAGGAAGTAAGCTGATCTGATGTGCTGGCTGTGTGCTTGTAGTATTACAGTGTCGTGCAAATCAAAATCACTTTATGTAATAAATCAGAATCACAGGTCGTGACACCGGAAAGTGATCAGAATCAGGAGTTGGGAAAAACTCCATCAGAGCCTTATCTGTTGTCTGTTGTCTGTCAGACTGTCTGTAATCAGGCAGGGAACAATTAAGTTCTCCACATCATCAGCTAATCTGGAGAAATGGCTTCCTACGTGTCTGTCTGGGGCTCAAACGTCTGTCTGTCGTTCAAAAAAAAATGTCATGGTCTGAGGAAAATGGACATTCAAGGAATTCAGTCTTCACAATGGTGGGAAATGCAGGGAGGGGGGGGCAAAAGATACACTGTGATCAAGCTGGGAATAATTAACACTTCATGATCAGTTTATCTGGAGAAACAGCTTCGTAGGTGTCTGTCTGGGGCTCAAACTACATGTACTTTAATTTCTTTTTTAATTCTGAGGAAAATGGACATGTCCACAAAATTTAGTCTTCATGGAGGCCCGGCGAAATACATGATTTATTTTATGTTTTTATTTACAGGTTTGGCTGTTCAACCTTCACAGCCAGTGCAACCCAACTAGCCAGTGGCTATTACAAAGACAAGACATGACAAAACAAAACAAGATGTCTTAAAACATTATTCTATCTAAATAAAACAAGATGTCTTAAAACATTATTCTATCTAAATAAAACTTTCTAGGAACTAAATGATTTGATAACCGTGAACATAAAAGTACAGTGACAAAATCAGGAATTACGGTAACTGCACATGACTAATTACATTATTCAATTCAGAAAAACTTTCTAGGAGCTAAATGATTTGATAACCGTAAATCCTAACATAAAAAGTACATGGAAAAAAATCAGGAATTACAGTACCTGCACATGACTTATGCGAGCTGCTGGGAAAACACTAAATCATGATGACTCATTAGATTCAGATTTAACGGTCGTCCCAGAATTGGAGACAGTCGAGAATTTTATAGCATCTCCTGTCACTTTGACCCAATTCACACTGAAAAAAAATTGAACTGATTTGACCATCAAATGGTATCAGAATTCATCAAACCGATTCAATTTTTGTAATGTGAGCGCTCCAAATCGATTAAACCTTGTCCTAAACGATTCACCACCAAACCACCTGAGTTTTTGATACAGAGCAATTGTGAATGAAAACCTGGTCAGGCCTAGGAAAAATAAATGTTGTGTTTCCTGTTTCAGTCCTGAAAACATAAGTGTAGGTAGGTAGGGATTTTCTTGTTGTTTTTTTTAGACTTTGGTGATCTCTAGCGATCCAACTCATGATACAGTACAGTTTAACAAATATGAAAGTGAAACTTGCATGAGGAAACTTACGTTTTCAACACTCAGGTGTCAGATCCTGGAGCTAGAAAAGGTCAATCAGCTCAAAAAATTCATATCCACACAAAAAAATTGTTAGGTCATTTTTTTCTGGGCTTGGTCAAGAAACAGGAAACACAACATTTTTTCCCTAGGCCTTAGAATGAGGTCACAGTGTTGATGCCTTCACCATCGCAGCCCAAATCAGTCGGGAGCCATTCCTGCTTCAGAACCTGATGGAAAAACAGTTCAGTTTGACCCCAGGTGTGACATCTGGAGCCGTCCATCTTCGTATATCAGTAGAAATTGGTGTGTAGGTCTGAATCTGATGTAGGGAGGACCATCAGTGATGTGGATCATCCTGCAGATAGAAGCATCTCTCTCTGTCCTGATTCACTCACAGCAAATTAATGGTGAACAATCATAGCAGCTTGTCTTTTTATATCTGCAGGCCACACCAAGGCAATTTCATCTCTCCAGGAGTTTTCCAGAAAGTTGGAGGGGCAGATGAAACTGTGATACTTGAACCTTTAGCACACTGAAGAAGCTGTTTGGTCAGTAACTGTAAGGATGGCATTTTCAGCACCAATGACAGGGATGGTGCTTAGTGCTGCTGTTTTCATTTCAGGGACTGGAATTTTCGGCTACCAAGCAGTCTGAGTTAGGAGGGTGAAGTCTGCCATCTCTTATTCCCATGTTTATGCGTTGTTTATTGTTATTTATTTGTTATTGTTTATTGTTGTTAAGAGCGAGTGCGGGACACCCTGATCCATGAGATGTGCCATGCTGCCACCTGGGTGCTGAACAGTGTTGTTATTATTTATTTGTTATTGTTTATTTGTTATTATTTATTTGTTCTTGTTTAGAGCGAGTGCGGGACACCCTGATCCATGAGATGTGCCATGCTGCCACCTGGGTGCTGAACGGAGTGAAGGATGGACATGGACGCTACTGGCAGTTTTGGTAGGTACTGCAGCAAATTTCAAACCTGCTTTTCATGATATACTTGGTAGTGCTACGTAGTGGAAGATGTATTGTAGGTTACATGTACTATATACAGTTTCTGTGGGATAACACTGGCGGAAAAAAATGGAAAATTTTTAACAAATACAGTAATATGGACGTACATATAAAGGAAGTTTGTTCCTGTTTTTTTTATACACTTTCAACCTTCTCTCTATTCAAGTACATTGTACATGTACTGTTTGTAGTTTGTAGTAGCATGCATAGTACAGCGGTAAGTGGTCTTGCTCTGGACCAAAAGTTTGAATCCAGGCTCCTGTCAAGCTTTGTCTCTAGAAGAAGTGAAGTGCACATATACAGTACTGTCATTGCACTCTGCTGATTTATATGACACCTCAGGCAATAGTAACAACTAATAAGAGAATGACTTGTGAATCAATAGTTTGATTTTCCATTCATGAACATCCCACATACACAGCTATGGTGCTCTTCCCACAATGGTCTGATCATTACAAATTTAATACACATGGTATTATGGACATCACAGGAGTTTGTATTTGTGTATTTCAGGGCCAGGAAAGCGAACCAGACACACCCGAGCCTCCCTGTGATCACCCGCTGTCACACCTATGCCATCAACACCAAGTTCACGTACCAGTGCACCGAGTGTGGGTACAGGTCAGTAACACATCAGCACACGCACACACACATCAACACACATCATCAAACATCTACACACATACATGTCAACACACACGCACACACTGAGCAACACACATCAGCACATAACAGCACACATAACACCAACAACATCTACATACATCCGTAACACATAACAGCACATATCAACACAAGTTCATGTACCAGTGCAAAGAGTGTGGGTACAGGTCAGTAACACAAATTACACAATAAACAGAGCAGTTAGTTTGTCAGGCTATTCCATGTACAAGTTAATGGCTTTGCAAATATTACCTTTCTAGTTTGAAGGGAAACAGTGTTTTTGCTCTGTTTCTTCTTCTCAAATGACCTGGACTAGACGGCTGTCACCATGGTAACTAACATTGTAGCAGACAGCCTGTGGTGCATGCCCTTTTACATTATAGCAGAACAGAGTTGGAGAGGCTACTGGCCATTCATATGATTGCTAAGAGTAAGAATAAACAGAGCAGTACTTTTTTATGCTTGACCAGGTGAAGGCAAACATTATGTTTTGAGGGCTTTGCAAATGTCACATTAGTTTTTAGATTTGTAACTGTTTTATTCCCTTCTTCCCCCTGCCCCAGACTCGGTCGCCACTCCAAGTCCCTTGACCTTGACCGTCAGGTGTGCGGTTACTGCCGCGGGCGGTTCCAGCTGGTCAACAAGGACGGCACGCCGGCCAAGACGCGAGCGCCGAGCAAGTTCGCGCTCTTCGTGAAGGAACGCTACGGGACGCTGAAGCGGGAAAACGCAGGCGCCGCGCACAAGGAGGTCATGAGGCTGCTGAGTGCAGAGTTCGCAGCGAAAAACAGAATATCATCATCATGAAATTTAAAAGGGATAAAATAGATGAAGTGAGGATAGAAGAATTGCTATTTCTTTTCTTTCTTTTTAGATTTCTGTCTGTTGAGTGCAGAGTTTGCTGCAAAGAATAGAATATCATCATCAGGAAAAGAGGATTAAGGAATAATAATTTTATTTCTGTTTTTCTTTTTAGGCTTAGAGATTTCTGTGTGTTACAGCAAATCTTGAAACATTTGTGGTGGTTTTATTTTCTGTTAACCTGTAAATTCATTGTTTTCAAAATTCTTGAAATACCTGCACTCAAATCAGTCTGCTGGCTGCTTCCTGTTGTTTGTTGGTCCATTAAATGATATTATAGACAGAGTAGTACCAATAAGTGTAACTTTATGATCAAGGGGATTTCTCAGGGCACAGATCTATTGTGACTGGAGTTTGGACATTTTATAGGATGATTTGAATAAAGATTATTTTTTGCATTCTGCAAGATTCTGGTGATGTGTTTTCATTTTATGACTCTCCCTGGAAACCCAGAAATAGGAAATTGTTGAATAGACAAATTTCTATCAATAAGACCAACACAGTTTAGCAAATGTTATTTCAAAGTGACTAATGTAAAGTCTAGTACCAGCCTCTTAAAGTTATAAATTGTCCATATAATCAGTGTCTCTTGATTCTACTAAACGATACAACAGCAGAAGTTACGGAATCGACATTCAGTAAAAAAGACCTAGAAGTATATGAAAAACAGATGTGCATACAACATTACAATTCCAATCATACTGATATAGTGTGTGATAGTTGACCCAATATTTGGACACAAATATCAACATGTTAATTCAATCCAGATTTTTTTGGCATGCTTGAGTCCATACTGTACATGCGCATATTTTAACACACTGGTGGGAGTTAATCCAACAAAACAGCTACAGTTGATTCAAACAATGTCAAAGTGAGTAGGAAAACTCAAGTTCAACTGCACTACACTTTATCCGTCGCCTGGGGGCGCTTCTGTACGGTCTGTAAAGAGCCCAGACCGTCATGCACCGGGCCGGGCAACATGGCGGCGCCCTTGTAATATTTTGGTGCCGAAAACCAGCCGGTTTCTGTCGCTATTTAGGATCTGGGCGGCTCGTGCAACTTTACAGCTCATGCACGGTAAGTCTGAGGTCTTTATTATTCTATCTACGACCGTTTTAGTCCGATTTTTGCGCGTGTTATCCTCGAAAACCGGAAAATATTTGAGAAATGCGGCGTGCAAAATCCACTTTTGCAGCGCGCTTATTCATATTTCCAGCACCATATCGGGAGGTTGTAGCTGGACTGTCGATATTTATCTAGACAGTACGGAAAAGGAAATGTAGGTAGATTCATAACTTCCACGCGTCCAGTTTGTCTGACAACGTCTGTAGCTGTGATGTGATTTGTCATGAAATTGTTTCCCTGTGGTCGGGGCTACGCTCCAAATAAGGACGTACTAAGTAAATCGATTATTTCCACCGAATTATGGGGCAAAATCCATTTCCTGACGTTCGTCAACCGTTAACAGAAAATTGACATTGAGTACTACTACACTGGATTCATGCAAAGACAGTGTACAATATTCTTGCTATATGGTAGAACATTGGGGTACACCTATCTGTAGCACAGGTGTGTTTGCCGCACCTGACACCTCAGGTGAAAGTGAGAGTTGTTGTCAGGTTGGTTGGAAGGCTACCTAACTCCTCAGCTTCTGTGCCTGATGATAATCTAGCAGATGTGGGAATTATCCTGAGTTCATCCCAGTTCCCAAATGTTATATCATGATTAGTTTTTTGCCAAGTTCTTGCCTTCGTTTTCAGTATCAAACTGACACACTCTTTAGAGCTCTTTTAGTTGAAGTAAAAGAAAGAAGGAAGGAAAGAAGGAAAAGACAAAGAAAGAAAAGTAAAAAGAGAGTAAGGAGAAACAAAGGAGAGAAGAATTTTGCTGACCTTTTGACAGAGTGTCCTAACACTTGAGATTGGTCCTTCATTGATGCTGATGATGTTATCCATCCTTGTCACCCCTGAGGACTCTGTAATGCCTCCCTGAGGGGTGATCAGCATTACCAGAGAGCAGGCCTGGTTCTCTGGTTACCAACCCTCTGCTGGACCAGAAGGTCAGGGGTTCGAATCCCCACTGATTGCCTGTCTCTCTGGTTGCTCACTTGTCAACACAAGAGTTGCAATAGCCTGGGTGCCAGACTTATAGCACACTGGACACAAAGTATCTCAGTAAGCACGTGCTCAGTGTCCAATGTGCTATGGTTCTGGCACCCAGGTTAGAGTTGCAATTCCTATATAAAGTATATGGGGTATTATGAACCAGCTCAAAACTTTTGTACTTGTAGGTGTGGCTTTTGTTTTTACAACAGCTATGTCTATTTAGTATTTACCAGCTACTAAGGAAACCTGAAAATGCAGGGATGTTTTGACAGAAAGTTGCTTTGGTGGTAGCCTGGTTACCAAACCTATTTTAGCTCCCGAGGTCTACATGTACATGTACATCCTTTCCGCAGAGAGGATGTAGGACTCAGGAGCTATAATACGTCTGGTAACCAGGCTACTCTGGTGGTACTGTAACAGTAGGGGGTTTATAGGCGCTACCAACTGACCCGGCCGATGGGTCTAGACCTTTTGGCCGAGTGGTTTGAGCATCAGGGTCTGAAGCTGGTGCTCGGGTTTGGTCGTGGGTTCGAACCCCGGCCCGGGACCAGGAGTGTCTTTCTGTTTCTACTGCTCGCCTCTGTTTCTTACAGTACCAAGGAAGTTTCCATCAATGAATTCTCCTACAATCCCAGCTTTAATTACAGTCATTAGACCATTGAGAGCAATAATGGCTTCATAATCCTATTGACAATTAAGAGCATTAACTAGGGTGTGAAGTGATCACATTATCATCAGTACAACAGTCCTACAAAGGCCTGTCCTCCCCAGGGATCTGTTTATATAATAGCTGTCTATTATCTAACTCTCTTGACAAGTGACTGCCTAATGATTATAATGAACAGTACCAGTAGTGTCCTTATTTATGAACTTATGCCAGTGAGGTGTAATGTGCTTATGTAATGCACCATCTACTAGGGCTGGTATGGACCGGAAAAATAGTATCGGTCCGGTCCGGTCCGGTCCGAAAAAAAACGAAAAGTCGGTGGACCATTTTTTTGGACCCGAACAAAAATTCATACTTGATCACTACACACAAGGAGGCCTGCCAGGAAAATGAACATCCAGCGTTAAAATAAAGAGATTTACCTTAGTTTCCGTCTCTGAGAACTTGTGAGAAGTGAGATAGGAAACCTAGTTATATCATCCATGGTTATATTTAATGTTCTTTGAAAGATACAGGACAAATTGTCAACACTTTATTCATGTTTCTGTCATTATTGAAGAATTTCATTAGAACATGTATGGTATAGATACAGGTACAGGTCCGGACCTGGACCTAAACCTCTGTACCTGTACCTGATGTTACGAAAAGGTACGCAGCCCTACCGTCTACCAACTTGAAATACTTTGTCAATGCAAAACGTAAGTTGCAAAGCAGGCCTTGCTGCAAAGTGGGTAAACCCAAAAGTGCTTTCCTGAAAACTTGTTTCTCCTGTGCATTTTCCATATTCATAAGGCAGCTAATTACATATTCATGAGGTTCATACATATTCATGAGGCTCATGCATATTCATGAGGCTATATTTACCTTACAAGCTTGGCTTATGCAATACAACCACCCAGCTGTTGAATAACACAAGTGGGTACAAAGGTCACCCTACCATGCTCCGCCTACACTGTGCAAAGAAAAGCCACACTGACAGTCTGGCTGGTCCAGCGACTAACGGTGACTCTGCAGAACTGGACACAGGAACAGGAGAGGGCCGGTTCTTTTGTCCTGCTGTTTGTGAACCGCAGAGACATGTTTTTGTAACCCAGAGGGACATGCTGTAGACTTGGTGGCAGGTTTGCTGTGTGTGGAAAGGAGTGGAAGCAAGCAAATCCTTCTTGACTTGATACCACCGGCATAACTGACTGGGTCAGACTGACTGTGTGCAACAGGCTGCCCTGTAAGCTGTCCCTGTCTCTCTCCTGGCTTGCCCTCACTTGGAGCAAAGATTTCATGGAGATTGTCCACACTGCCAGAACTTGTGATGGCTGTGAAGACTGATTCTTGACAAGCCAGCGGTCTTGCTACAGGCCCTGCAGCTCTAAATCAGGCCAGTAATGCCTTGCCCTGCAACCACAGCATGTCAGAACATTCAAAACCACAGGCGGGGGATCTGGTCTTGGAATGCCGCCAGCAGGAATCCTTACAGAATGTCCGTCTTATAAAACCTGCGGTCTCTGCTTGTCACTGTCTCAAGGAGGTGGTCAACAGATCAGATTCCTTTCTTAAACTGTGAAACTCTAAAGGGCTTCTTCTTGCGTAAAGCTTAAACCTCCGAAGTCTGGTTCTCTTCCTAACAAAAATATTGAAGTGAAGATTGCCAAAGAAAACAACTCCAGTTGTGTGGTATCAATATGAATATGGAAACTTTTTACATCTAACACGGAAGATGGAACAGCTACTACTTGGCTGAAACTAGTGAAAGTTGAAGAAGCGTGAGGAGGACGGATTTAAGACGAGAAGATGTTTTACGAGGAGGACGTACCGGTGGAAAACCGGGTGGACCTGGCGTACTCAGACCTGGACCTGTTCCCCGAGCACCTCTCCAAGAAAGCGGACAAGATCCGGAGTCTCCGGCTCAACAACAACCGGATTCTGGTTCTCCCTCGCGCCGTGTCGCTGTTCCACGAGCTCCGACATCTAGACATCAGGTACGTGAACTCAAGTCTAGTATACCTTATCTGATTTGCCTCCTCAACCAGTATAGACTTTAGTCAGCATTGTCGTTTGTAACTGTGTTTTATATGTAATTTTAACTGATTGTATATATTTTATAATATCCACCTATACTTTGAAACTGCCGCCTATTGCTAAAATGACACTATTTTTATCATAGTAACTGTTTTTATCAAATTGTGATTACTGTAAATTCGGTTGTGATTCAGTGTTGCACACTGCGAATGCCAATAAAGCTATCTTGTATCTTGTATCAGCGCCAACGGGCTTACCCACGTCTCTGCCGAAATCACCCAGCTCCCAAAACTCAGGACTTTCATCGCGAAGAACAATCTCCTTGAAGACGGAGCTCTACCCAAGGAGCTGCACCGGTGTGTGAGTCTGGAGGTTCTGAATCTGAGCGGGAATGTTTTTACTGAGTTTCCGGAACAGATAACGGAAATGGCGGGACTGAGGGTGCTTTACCTCGGCGCTAACAGACTCTGGACGGTTCCCAGTGAGATCAAGAACATGAGCAGGTGAGGACGGTTCTGTTTTCTTGTTGTGTTGTTGGTATATTACACATATTTCCGTGTTCTACTGTTCTTGTTATCTATATGTTTGAAAGGGCTCAAATACTGTTTTCTAGTTCTTGTGTTGTTGGTACATGTATATTACATATGTTGTGGCTCAGAATATCAGAAGTATTTCTTTTTATTTATAATTTTTAATGCAATTTGTGATTCTTAACATGATGATATTGATGAAGGCTAGACATCCAGGTAAACAACAATTCTCATAAGAAATTCAAACTCTACTACTGGATAAATTTCGGAGACAATATCCGGATGTTTCAAGTGACATCCGCTACTCTTCAACACCGTATATGACACCAAACCTGGGTATACCGGTAGTCATGCCATATGATAAGTTGTTTTTCTGCGATTTCAATTTTTTTTTTCTCAGAATCACAGGTAGCAGATAAGGGTATACTAGTAATTGTCTACAGTAGCTTATAGTTATACAAAATATGTATGATATCATATTGATATATTTAGTTGTGTAAGCTTGATTTTTCTGATTACCTGTGTTTGAACTTTGAATGTTGGTTTATTCAAGGACGTTCTTGTTTTACTTGTCAATAATTTTAGTCATAGCAAAAGGAAAATTTATTAGCCTTTTTTATTCCCTGGTGCCCCCAGGGAAAAGTGCATTGTAGTGAGCTTGGATGGTAGTAAAATATTAACTCACCCTATAAGGTCAACATTCTGAACACTTGCAATCATGACAAAGCATATTATATTGTACATAATTTCTACTTCTAGCTGTTTATAGATACAGGCATCTATGAAGGTTCAACATCTAGGTATAGCATAACGTGTATGCTTAATACAAAACTAATCAAGTAACTTAAGTTTATAAATTTTCTGAGGAGTCAGATGTTTCATAATTCAAATAAAAACACATGTTCCAATGTCCTTGATAATTATGTAGCATCCACTACCTTTCATCAGTAACTCAGTGAATGAGATAGATATAGGCAATTTTGAGATGCCAGATGGGACACATTTTTCTGTTCTATATTAAGAATAATCCAAGAAAAAGTCCTAACAAGAAAACATGTTTTGAATACACACCACTGTTGTTGTACATGTGTACATACTTTATTTACATGTACATGTACATGTACCCTGAGTGTAACCAATGAGGTATTTCTCTAGCCTGGTTACCAAACCTATTATAGCTCCTGAGTCCTACATCCTCTCCTATTTTTTTTTTATTCACATAATATATTTATTGAGTATAGGGCAAAAAGCACAAGTTGCTTATAAAGTTATATAACATCTTCTCCTATTTACAGAGAGGATGTAGGACTCGGGAGCTAAAAAAATATGTTTTGTAACCAGGCTACTTTTTCTCTGCCCTCCTTGGTACACCATGTATAACAGTGTGTGTGATGTTGTGCAGTGACGTGTTATAATTGGTCTACATTTTTCAAAGTCAGACACTTATGTATGAGCAAGTCTGACGGTATGGCCGTCTCACATGTCAATATGTATCCTTACCAAGGTGGGTCTGAGAAAAACATGGGAGCAAAACATGAATCAAAGACATTTTCGTTATCTGTATCTCTATTTTGGACATCAAAAATTTGAGGTACATGTTTCTACCTTTAAAAAAGAGTCACTGATTAAGGAATATTCTACTGAAAGATCCCAGGTTTGTTTTGGAGATGATCATCATTACTGTTCACTAATTATAAATGAGAGAAAACATCGCAATATTTGTTTAGGATAACTTGGTTACTGATGAGTCAAGGACAGAACAGGAAAGTTCAGGGGAGAACCAAGTAAATGTTTCATGAGTGGAAATGTTGAAATTTTGCATGGAGATGTCTAGTACTGTTAAATGTATGTCAGACTGGTTTGGAAGATAAGTTACAAAACAAAGTCAAGGCTTGGTTTAGAAGTGGAAAGTTCAGGGGACAGCCCAGTAAGTGTTCAATGAGTTTATGACCAGATTGAAATTTTGCATCAAACTGTCTCACTGACATGTCAGAATAATTGTTTGAAAGATCAGTGATAACGAAGACAGATCCAAGGGTTGGTTTGGAGATGTTACAAACCAAAGAAACACCACAGTGTTTGTTTTGCATAACATGGTTACAGGAAAGTTCAGCGAAGAACCCAGTAAATGTTTAATGAGTTCATGATCAGGTGTATTGATAGTTTGCATGGAAACCGGGCTGACATATCAGATTAGTTTGACAGACCAGAGACGAAACAGACCCAAGCCTCCACAGCATGCCAAAAACTGTGGGTTTGGGGATCTTCAGGGTCTTTGGGAGCTTTTATATTCTATTTTATGATTGCATAGACAACATAGCCGGCCTGGTTGAATTACTCCTGTTTTAGAACTGGGCTAATCAGAAAACAGCCGAAGACCACCAAACCCCCAGTTCTATAAGCCTGCTGCGGAGGCTCTAACAGACCCCAGGTTTGGTTTAAAACAGTAAGGAGGCTCTGTAAGTTAACTGATCAGTCAGATTTCCTGTGTAATCTTTGTTATTATGCTATAATCCAACCAAGCCTGTCCCCATGGGATTAAAATGATGACAATCTTTCTGAAGTTTTCTGATGGTTTCCTAGCCTAGTTACCAGACTGTTGCCAGGGCCTACACAAGCCAGTTCCTCGGCAATAGTCTGGCATCCAGGCTAATAATATCACTCCACCTGAGTTTACTTAACCTAGATATATTACAAAGCTGGCAAAAATGTTTTACAGACTTTTCCTTCAGACTCTGTTTCCAAGACAATCCTCTTTCAGCCTCTTTTTACAAATCCCAGAAGGAACAAAATAAACTGTGGTGGCCTAATCTTTATATTATATAGTTATAACAGCAGCTGCCTTCCTGTAACATAAAGACCTTACAGTTACACAAGCTCAGGCTGACTCTAACTGTGTAAGCTTATTAAAATGATCCGATGACGTAGTTTCCATTATTCTGCTGCCAGCCTTTACAAAATGTATGTAGGGCTGTTAGAGTCCTTTTTACTGGGACATTTTCACTACAGGAAACACCAACTCAACTGTCATTCATCATCATTTGAACCTCAGTGTCTGAAAGTAGTGGAAAGCAACTTGAAACGTCTATCCAGAGTTGCTTGAGTAACAGTGTATCTGGATGTCTAACCTTCATAAGAAGAAGTGTCCATCTGTCAGTACTGATAAGACATCTTCCTTCCTTCCTTTTTCAGATTTAAGATCCTGTCTTGGAGGAAACCAAAATATCTGACAGTTTTCAAAATCTATCCAGTTGCTTGAGTACGAGAAATCGTTTTCTTGTGTATCTCATAATCTGGATGTCCACCTTCATCATCTTAAAAATATTTTCATGAAAGTTCTTCTGTGTTGGTAGTAAAATGTTCAACTTTATTCCAACACAAAGATTACACGGAGATCAAATTTTCGATGACAACTGTCGCCTTTATCATCATCATAAGAAGATGTGTCCAGGTGTCAGTACTGATAAAAGACATCTTCCTTCCTTCTCCCTGCAGACTAGAGATCCTGTACCTGGGAGGTAACCAGATCAGCACCCTGCCTGTGGAGGTTGGTTCCCTGTCCTCGCTGATGTCGCTGGTCCTGTGTGACAACCGTCTGGAGTCCCTCCCCCCACAGCTGGCACGTCTTCGCTCTCTCCGCTCCCTCAGCCTGCACAACAACCGCATCGCCGCGCTGCCCAGCGAGATCATCGCCCTACGCAACCTCACCGAGCTCAGTCTCCGCGGGAACCCGCTGGTCGTGAACTTCGTCCGCGACCTGAGCTTTGACCCGCCGACCTTGCTGGAGCTGGCGGGGAGGGGGGTGAAGAACAGTGGGCTGAGGTATGCGGAGTCTGACGTCCCGCCGAACTTACACCGGTACCTCAGCCTCGCCAGGAAGTGTCCTAATCCTAAATGTACAGGTAAGGAACAATGAAGTAACACTTTATGACAACAATACAACTGTTCCGTAACATTTGAAGTTTACCATCCCTAACCCCAAATATACAGGTAAGTTCCTCCCGACTTTCTACCTCAGCCCCACAAGGAACTGCCCTAATCCTAAATGTACTTGAAGGAACAACGCTGAAACAATTTCTCAACATGATAACATTTTAGTAAGTCTCCAAATCCCAAGTGTACAGGTAAGGGAAAAACAATGTAATTTGTTAGATGTACAAGTAAGGAAAAATACAGGTGCAGTTGAGTTTATCTGTAAGATTTCAGTAACAGCCCAGTCACAGCAGCCCACCTCATCAAGGTCACTGATAAGGAAATCCTGATAACACTTGAGTTTATAGACTACATAAAAACACTTCAGTGGCAACCTAAAATCAAAACACACAGGTCAGCAAAAACCCAGGAACACTCAAGTTTCTACACATAACAACAAGTGCTGGTGTGGCCCACTTGGAATATAGTAAGTTTCTCTCCATGAGAACACTTCACACTTAAGTGCACAGGTAAGCAAAAACCCAGTAACACTAGACTTTCTTTACACAACAACATGTTACGGCTCAGTAAACACAATTGTCCGTAGGGCATGTACCAGTCTGTGGGGTAGAAAGTTACAGAAAATAGTTTGGACCACCAGGGAGAACTAGTAAAGCTACACAGAATCAGGGCAGACAAATCATACTTATCAATTTGCCGTATATAGTAGAGGGGATTCATTCCTCAAGCTAACCGACATCTCGCACATGCAGTCGTCCCTCAGTAAGACATCTGGAGCCGCATAGTTCCCATTTAGAACTTTTATTCAGCCTGTCACACTTATCAATTTGCCATTTCCAAAGTTATCATTCACTGAGATCTGCAGCACAAGACATCAAAGTTTGGTGGTTTCAAAGTAACAGGTCTGCATTTTATCCAAAATCTCACAGGACTGTTTGAAAACTGCCAGAAGCACATTCATGTTTCCCTGGGTACAGAGTTTCAAAGTGCAGGAAAAGTTCAAATTCCTTGCTACAAACAATCTGCACATCTGTATAATGCAAACAGCTACTCTTCCAATGCAATAATTACTCAGGGGCCATTCACACTGGCTCTTTTACGTTGTAGCTAGGGTGTGTGTCATAGCACATTTTTGACAGAGATCTTTCATCCCCCCTGGATTTTCTCTACTAGGGTTTACTCCCATGGACTTCTGAGTGTCTTCCCTGGGTTTCAGTTAGGGTTTTCCTTCCCTGGGATTTCAATATTTTATCCATACTAACTATGAGACTAAAACATATGCAATGCAGAGTATGTCTTACCCTGGGTGCCAAACTAGTATGGAGACTTTAGCTGTTTTCCTTCAGCAGCCAAGGGCCTTCGCCCACCGGTCTAAATTACTACCGCTACTGGGGGGGAGTTGAGCCTGAGGGGGATTTGGTTGACCCTAGAACTGGGCTAGACTCCCCGTAGTGGTAATTTAGACTGGCGGGCGAAGGGCTCTTGGCTGAAGAAGGGAACAGCTAGTGGCCCAAAACGAGTTTGGCACCCAGGGTAAGTAAGTCTGGTAAACAGGCCTGTGGGAGATTATAATAGCCCCTCCAAGCTGCAGGAAGGTCCTATGACTGACAGATATTCCAGTCATCCCAACATGACATTCCCCCGGCGCACTCCGCTGCCATGAAGTCATCACACATCTGTCATCTCTGCCGGTCTGAACAAACCAACGTCCCAAACACGGTCCAACGGTCCTGTGTCCTATCCTATAGGCCTACTAGGGAGGCCCAGTAACTGGTCTAGGGAGGGATATCTTTAAAACTATCACTGTGAACTGAATTCAAACATTGATCGTCATATTTCCTCAGGAAATTTCTCAGCTACAAAATACTTAATTATGTAGATAATAATCGTGATAATAGATAATAAAGGATAACCTGTAGTATTATATAGAATAGACAGTAACAGTTTAGGTAGTAGAGTTAGAAATGTCAGGTCTACAAAACAGTTGTGACGATATGGCTCTATAGGATACTGTTGAATATTACTAGTAATATTTTGTTGTCCATCCCAAAGACCAGGTCCTACATATTACCATTGCTAGTTCTCACAACACCCATGATTGAGATCTATGCCAGTGCAGTATCAGCTGGTAGGTTGGGGGG